GGAACTGAGGCACAAGGAAGTTCTGTAACTTGTTGAAGAACCCCCACCAAGTAGGTTGTGTGGCCTGGGTTCAAACCCAGGACACTGGGCAGTAGAGGCCAGGCTCTTGGTCTGAAACTCTTTACTCCCTTGCTCATAATTTTCCATGCCTAAAAGAACATTAACATGCCATGAAAGTGACAATTATTTTCTAGTATTCCACAGAAACTTTCATTTTCTGACTTACACAGCCTGGCGCTCCTGGGTATATATTTAAAGAATCGCGGTAAGCATTTGGGGGTCAATATAAAAGCCCGGTGCTTTTCTTTACTGATACCTGTGGCCTATTAGCTTTGTGGTACTAATGAGGCCAAGGTTATGAGGTCAAACTCCACATGTACCAATTAGGTTCAAAGCGAAAAGCTTTTCCGCAGCTGGCGACTGAACTCCTACCGTTGACCGACAGTCGTACAGACCTATGCCTAGCAGTCTGATGAGCACCAGGCAAAAGACAGCTCAAACGGGGCTGTTTCGGACCAGCTCCATCGAAAGCAGCATTGGTGGGGGCCGAGTGAATCTTTGGAGTCTCCAAATCATACGCTCTCTTCTTTAATCAGAAGGGCGGCACCCACAGCCAGGAAGAGGTGTTTGGTAGCATTTTGGAAGCCTATGGATTCTCATCTGTCTCCTGTCTCACCTAAAAAGGAACCCAGTCATTTGACCTCACAGCCAGCAAGGTGAGGAAATGGACCACTGCAAACCTTCCGGTCCTGAGGTCCTGAGCGTGTGTTTCCTGAGCTGTAAACCCCTTGGGTGGAGTATTTGGCCATGTCTGAATTTCGGCCCCACCCTTAAGGACTTGGAGTCCAATTTGAACAGAACACAGAAGCTGGCTTCTCTTTCATTGATTGAGTGCTGTAATCTCCTACCTTTGCAGATCAATAGAAGCGACGTAAGGAAGAGAAGTGGCCAGATGTTCCCCGTTCACTACTTAAACCCAAGCATCTCCTTTCTTGACTCGCTCTGAATCCTTGCTAATTACAACCTAGACTACGGGTCTGTTAGAGTCGGGTCATTTAATTTAACCCAAGCCCCTTATTTTATAGACGAGGACCTTCCAGCCTAGAAACTTTAACTGCCTGCCCGAGTCAGACGGCTAATGAATGACAGGTCTGCAAGCGGTTTTCTGAGAACCATATACCCAAGGAAGAAGGCCGAGCTAATAATAATCACCTCAGTCTCCGAGGTTTACACAATCAGTAACAATGAAAGTTAATTGCAAAGTTTCACTTAGACTCTTTAAAAACAGTATGTTTCCACACACGAAGAACGTCGCTCATTTACGGAGACCTGTTCTTAATAACTCTGCGTTGGGGATATATTTCACAAAAGCCATAAATCTGACGTGCCCGAAAGGGTATCCAAATTTCTTTTCTAACTGATTTACTTCTTCTTCTCTTGGACGGCCGGAGGTAAAGCATATACAGTTTATTTAAGGGACTGTTTATAGACTTTTAAAACTAAAAAGGACCCCAGGAACAGCCCGCCTCCCTCCCTCTCTTTCTTTTTCTTTTTCTTTTTTGTTGTGCTTAATTGAAACCATCCCCAATGGCTGGCTGTCCGTCAATCTGTAAAATATCTCCGAGCACACAAGTTCCACAAACTCTTAAACGCTACATAAAGATGGTTCGTCACCGTGGCTGTCACAAGTGATGTCTGTGACCTGCATGACCCGGCCCATTTCATGTGCCTGTGGCTGTGATCCTAGGGAGTCACCTCATGTGGGCTGTGTCAGCCTGGGAGGGTAATGGCTAGCAGCTTTCTCCTCCACACGCCAATGTCGTCCTGCTAGGACAGGAGATCGATAGGCCCCCTGTCCACGGTGCGGTCGGCAGAATCAGTCATTAGGATCTTTCATCTCATACAATGTCTGGAGGAGCTACTTTAATTATACATGAACTCTTCTTTGTGTGCTGGGAAGATGTGAGAGTCTGGAAGGTTCTTTCTCCTGTGTGTCCCGAAGCTTGGGCTTGAAGGGAAATCCGAGCCTGTTCATGAATTTGGGTCAGGCTCTGCACAAATCTGCACCTTACTGCAAATTTCCAATTTGAACCATTCTAATAGAATTGTGAAAACCCTCCTAGTTGAACATTCTGCACTGGCAAAGAGAAGTGATGAAAACGATTTTCTTTTAAATGTTTAAAGTTCAAACTAAGACCAGAAACTTCCTTCTGCCAGGAAGGACAATCCATACTTCCGCAGTTGAGTGGAAGCAGCTAAAGATAAAAGACGCAGTCACAATAAGACTTTAAAAATAAAAACAAGGAGCAGTAAATAATAAAGTGTCAACCGACCGATCCTAGCAGCGGGAAGGGCGCTTCCCTCGAAAAGGATTTCAGAGACTGTGAATGGCCAGAGCTGACTTCTCCACACACAGGAAATCTCCAGGGATATAAAGGAAACTCAGTAACGTTTGTTGACAACAGTTAAGGTCTGGAAGAATAATTGGCTTCCACACAAAACAGACCATCAGTGTGGCTTGGGATGACCCCTAAGAGCCTTCTGCAGTCATTCTTGCATGCATTGTGTTCAGTTAAAAGCAGGTTTATCAACTGACTGGATAAATGGGATATGACAATCTGAGACTGTTTGACGACCCAGTATCTTGATGGTTTGTAACACTAAGATCTAGAATGAGTAATCCCGTTAGATTTGCTTGGATTCTGTCCTGTCAGTGCAATAATCAACTACTACGTCAGCTAGGCACTGACTTAGACTCTGGCTATTCAAGGTAAATGAGCAAGGCGTTTGGCATCCAGGGGCACTCGAGGGAAGATAGAAGGTGGTAAGGGGATGGCAAAAGTGGGGCAAAATATCAGGAAAAGAATCAGACACGTAATCTGTCCTCCAAGGTTATTTTTCCCTTGTGACACTCGATGATACTTAGGTGAAGTTTTTTTTCCTTCCCAAAACATGTGAGTCCCGAAGCCACGATCACTTATTCATTTCTAGGAATTTCATTCATGCCTAGTAAAGTAGCAGATACCCCACTGGTGTTTTGAAATAAAGCAAAATAAGTTAAAAGGACTAAGGTTCCTAAGGCAAGGATGATTGCCCATTTGGCCAGAAAGCCAACAAGAATACTTTTGTGCATTGGATGTAACCGTGGGGTCCTCCACTCTCAGAGACAGTGCTGACAGTAACACAAAATTTACAAGGGCACTTCCCACCCCCAGTCACCAGGAGTCGCTATATAGAACTTCCCCCTTTCAAATGATTAAAACATAATTTTGAAACATTTCCTAAAATTTGATCATTGTAGTGGCAAGAGTAAGGGACCATTTTGGTGACTTGAAATTGGTTTCCACTGTCCTCACACACACGTCTAAACTCTGTGGGGACACGGTGAGTGTCATTTAGGACCAATCCTTCTTTCCAGTCTTATTTTTCATCATTTGATACTAATATTGCAGGTGTACGGGGTTCTATTTTCCATGGTCCGCAGGTAGATACCTTGGACCACATTCTGAGGAGTGTCACAATCTAAACGGGCACCTCGCAGAGTGTGTGTAGGCTGGCAGTTACCTAGTGAACTGGATGAAAGAGAACCGCACAAAAAAGGGGAAAAAAATCCTTGTGAACATAGTAAGTGAAAATAGCTTATGCATTTTAAAGAAATGTAGATTGGTAGCAGCAAATCATACAATAATGGCCTATTGTTGGGGCTCACCTTGGTATCCCCTGTTCACAAAGGGAAACCAGATCCGCCACTGGAAAAGCCCCTCCCGGGAACCGCGTCAGCCCCTGCCACAGAGACTTGGCTGGAACCTCAGAAAAGTACACGAGTTCACTCAATCAAACTTCAGCTTAGAAGCACGGGGTGGGAATTTCCCCATTCAAACCAGAGAAAGTACTTCAGAGTCTCTGTCACTTGTCTCCCCCGCCCCCAAATCCATGGTCAGCACAGATCTCAGTCTCCTTACAAGCATCCTCTTCCTATCTCTCCTGCTCATCCCCAGACTGGCAGAACTCCTTTGCACAAGTCTTACTATCACACACACACCCTGCCTAGAGAGGAGAGAAGAGGAGAGAAGCTTGCAGCGTGTGAGCCATCCCAGAGCTGTGGAGGTGACTGAGGCACCCCTGGACCCTGGAGCATGACTCGTGCTCTGATCCCTGCAGTCCTCTGGGAGTCCAGACAATGACACGGAGGGAGCTCCTGGCTCTGAGTCTCTCACGGTCTCAGTGCGCAGCGGTCACTTCCCGCAGGCACCACGCACTTGTCTGCCTTTCTGGTTTGCAGGTGTTGCGGTCCCCAGCTGCCTGCTGCTGTTGACTGTTGAGTTTCTAATTGTCTGGGCCTGATTTATGAGGCAAGTGACACTGTGCTTGTCAAAGACACCACCGAGAGAGAAATCCCTCCAAAGAGCTCTGTCAGTGCAATGCAAGGACAGAAGGAACCCAGGTCACCTGCCGGGGGGGCACCTTGGAGATGATGTCATAGTTTGGGTTTAGAGAAGACCTATGTATTTTATTTGCAAATCTGACTCAGAGCAAAAGTGGCCTCCTGTCTGTTCCCAGTGACTTCATATTACAAAGAAGCATCTAGAATGTGTCCCTTAATTCTTTCCCAAGTGTCATGAATGGAGAGTCCTCGCCATTCACATCTGAGCTATCAGACCGTCCTGTGTGGCTTCATAGGTCTGCACACACACTGACAGGTCTGGAAAGCAAAGCCCTCAGTGTCCCAGGTCATTCTGAAAGGTCCTGTCCTTTCACAGACCAGCAGAAGAGTGACAGCAGACCGTGGTGCTGGCCAGGAGCCTCCACAGGAAGTAAGGACAAAATCTGAAGGAAGGAAGGTCCACCCTCAACCTGTGCAACCTGCCAAAGCCCAGGTGCCACACGATACCAACGCCGAGATGAGGGCCCTCGGCGTCGGAGGACACTCCTGTGACTGCAGACCCTCAGAACCACACGCTCCGGCCCCCGGGCCGCACGAGGGAAGGAGGGCTACTTACTGAAATAGAAGCCCCTATCTCCGCACACGAACTGGAGCGCGTCAACCAGCTCAGCGCCGCAGAGCGTCTCCGGTCCAGCTGTGGCCGAGCTGGTGAGGACGAGCAAGCAGAAGGCCAGGTAGAAGAGGTGGGAAGAGGACACCGCGTGCATCCTGCCCTGTGGGAGAAGCAGACGAGGGTCAGCTTTGCCTCCCTGGGCTTTGCAGGCCGAGATCACCCCTGACTCCCAGGCCTGGGGCTGTCTTTCTGCAGAGGGACCTGGCACCGAGGGGCAGCCACGGCCATGGACCCCACAGGGCACTGTCTTGGCATCAGAGGACTCTGCTCACCCACCTTGGTGCTGGACCCATGGCCACGGCCTCCCCAACCCCTGGCTCCTGGCTCCTACGGCAACTGAGTGAGGGCCCGAGGAGCCCAGCCAGTGAAAGATGCCAGTGGGACAGGGGGTTCCACCCTGCTCTGAGATCCTGGTAACACTTTGGAATGACTGCAGGTTAAACTGTGCCCAGAACAGATTTGCAGCCCAATGCATTTTGTTAATCTAAATGCTCCAAAAACTGGCCATCCACAGGTAGCCTATGTAGTATTGTCTATGGCATTAAATTAAGCAGAATAGCATTCCTTGGCTACTGGTTAAGAAGAAGATACTGTGGTCAGAAAAGGAAATAGCACTTATCATTATAGGTTTTCTTGAAACAGAGAGAGAGAGACAGAGAGAGAGAGAGAGAGAGAGAGAGAGAGAGAGAGAGAGAGATTTCCAATCTGTGTGATAGCACCACATCAACTAGAAAAACAAACTAGAAAAGCGGGTGGCTTCTGTAGCAGGAGCTGGGGGTAAAGGTGTGATGCCACCCCTCACCCGCCCAAGGCTCTGACAGCACTGTAACCCAGGGCAGGTTAGCACAGTGGATTGATCGCATCCAAGTTTTGTAAGACAGGAGAGGCTCCAGAAAGGGGAGTCTCGAACCCAGGGATCACTCCCAGTCTTTTACGCTTTGCTCCAATGAGGCACGGACAGCCAGGTAGAAATGGGATCAGCCAGCAGGAATGTAAACTAGCACGGGGTGGCTGCCGAGGGAGCCGGCAGCCCAGCCCCATCCCCCTTGGCTCTCTGTGTAGCGTCCCGTGTCCTGGTACAGGGCTGGGCCCCCTGGAGCAGGCTCTGCTGGGACCTGTGACAATCTGGCGAGGTGGGTCATAGAATTTCTTTATGGCCAGCCCTTCCACAGAAAGGCAGGGAAAGGTCAGAGTCATATTTCTAGGTTTTTATGGCTAACTTTGGCGCTGAGCATGTCTAGTTTCTATGACCTGCCTTGGGGGGAGGAAACAGAGAGGCGGGAGAGGCCAGAGAGAGACTCTGCTTTCTGGAACTTCCGATTCCCTTGAGCTCACAGCGGTCAGCATGCCAAAGAGCTGCGGGGGACATCATTTTCCGAGCCCCAACATTAAGCAAATGATTCTCCGCCCTGCTCCTCAAGCACCTCTCTCCAAGGCCAGCACGTGCATCGAGGACTCTTGCACATGCAGGGCACTGGCCTTCAAACCTGCAAAGGCGTTTTTCACTTTTTCTTTTTTTCTGTCACAGGAATTCTGACTTCATCTGCTGGAGGGATTTCAGTGTCACTGTATCCATTTTATAGCAAAAGCTACTACCTAGGGACCCCTGGTTGGCACCGCTTAGTCAGGGATGCCCGGCCAAGTGGCTGTCCTGCCAAGAGCAGGGTTCCTGCGGCTCAAGTCCCCGCCTCCCTCTAAGAAGCAGGGAAGTGCTAAGGGGACCGTTCCATTAAGTTTTTCCATCTTGCTACTTGTGGCACCAAGATGTGGTTTCTTCCAGGAAGGCTCCCCTGGCGAGGAGCTTCGCCTCGCCTGGGCTGTCTACATGAAGCATGGTAAGAGCCACCGACAGGATGTTAGGGGCCCAATTACGAGGTCACGGGGTGACGCTGGGAGCTATAATTTTACAGAGCGGCTGCTTTTGAACCTCGTAGTGGGGCCGGGTCCCTTCAACCCTATTGCTCTTGCAAAAACAGAGCCAGGCGTTTCTTTCCTGACCACCCTCCTTGGCAACCGTGAGCCCACAACTCAATGGCTTGGCCGTCCGTGGCGAAGTCTGTGCCATCATTCTCATTAAAATTTCCATTTTTGTGGCCAGAACTTCACCCCCAGAAATTGAGGGGAAACCCCTAAACCCCTGATTCTTGTTAACACAAAGTAAATATTTAGTTAATGCTTGTAAAGCGGCTGAAGATAAAAAGCACCCTCTACTTGCAAATCATCATAAATAATGGACATAAAATAGAGGAAGAAGCACAAGACCAAGCAAGCATCCGTCCCATCTTCTCAGGAGGGGCTGCACGTGGCTGCCTGCACGGGGCCAGAGCCACCGAGACAGTGGACAGTAAGCACAGTATCACCAAGTGCTCATTTCTGTTCTCTCTAAAGGAGGCAGTAAGGTTTTTACCTTCAACATTTCCAATGGAAACCTCAACAAATCAAACCCAACCGGTTTGCAGCCCCTGTGCAAAAGCACAAACCGAGGATTGGTTTTCAGAACAAATTCTCACCCGCTGGCAGCGGGCCAGTTCTAGAATGTATTTGGTCCCACTAAACCCATTTCTCCATCTCTAGGTTTTTTGTGACCTTTCAGGTGGCACTGAGAGCCAAGCACCTGCATGGTACATGCCTTCAATCTTCAGTGCTCATGCAAGCCAGGGGGACAATCACTCAACAACTCAAACAGGTATAGAACTTTGAAAGATATCAGAACTGTATTTTCAAAAGTTATCTTTGGAATAACACATTAAGGTCCAACAACAGACACACACACACACAACAAATCTCTTCTAACATTTAAAACACTTAAGATATTTAACTAGGATTTCCTTGTCCTTGCTTTCTTTTTCCACTGAGTTATATTGTCAGATAAATATCAGCACTTATAGTTCCAGGACAAGATAGAACCTCTTTCCCTTTCTCTCAGAGAACAGTCCAGCACACCCACAGAGCGGGAGAGAGTTGATCACATTATGTTCCCACAACAGAAACAACAACGAACTTGCTTAGGAGTTAAAAGTTTGAAACAAGTGGCCCCATATGTTCATGATTTGCTTGGCCTTTTATTTTGTCAGCCACACGAGAAATGAGGAGAGAGAAAAGAAAGGGAACGAGGGACAGGAAACGGGGAGAGCCAGGAAGAGAAGAGAAAAAGAGAAAGGGGAAAAAAGAGCAGAAAAGAAAATACAGAACACTCTTCCTCAAAGATCATTCACAAATCCACATTCTTTCCGAAGACTTCTCTCTCTATCCGAAATAAATGGAATATCAATTGATTCCAGATGTCTGGGCTGCGAGGACCGTAACCCGGGGAAATGTGGGGCAGGAGCCACAAGAAAATACTCACTGGGGGTGCACTCATGTTTGTCTGTTCCAGGTCTTTTACAGCAGGTCAGGGTGGGTGTTATGAGGCCGAGGCGAACAGAGGACTGGAGACTTGCAGACATGTGCGGGTGTGGGTGGGGTTTGGGGGAGCATCTAGTTACACTTGGTCACCCAGACAGGTATGCCGAGAGCCCGAGTCAGCTGCCTTTTGCCCATTCAAACAATGCACAAACCGCACAGCTGGGATCTGAGCCCCCCCCTGCCCCAGCCCGCTCCCCGGTTCCCGCTGTGAGCCTGCGGTAGCTGTCCACAAGGGTGGCCCGAGCCCCGGCGCATGCCTGAATTCCCTTTCCCCCTTCCCCGGGCTCCGACACCGGCAAGTATCTGGGGACTCAGACTGCTACCGTGAGACCGTGGCCTCTGACTCTGAACCACAGGACACCTTGATGCACCGAGTGACAAAACACAAGTCCAGGCTGCCACTTCTCGGCACTGGGCGAAGTGAGCCACGCACAGCAGGGAAAGCTCATTTGGAGACAATTTTCCAAACTCGTAAGCAATGCGGAGATAACATTCCACAGCCTCTTTGAGGATCCTCTGAGCAGGGACACGCACCCCCAGCTGCCGGACCACACAGTGGAGCTGCACACTGGCTTTACTCCGGGCAGAGAAAGGTGGCTGGGTGAGCCGGTGTCGCAGCCACGGCAGAGTCAGGTGCCTGACTCGGGTCTGCCCCAAACTCCCAGGCCACTTACTTGGCCGAGACAAGTCCCAGCAGTGAAGTATTTAAAAGCAGCAAATGAACAGTGTACTGAGGACCGCCGGGAACCTTCTATGAATTAAACCCTCCTGCAATTGCCTCCGGAGCCAGAGACAGCAGCTTAAAAGTGCTTACAAATTGAAAAAAAAAGGAGAAAAAGAAGAAAAGCCTTGAAGGATATAATTTTGCTGCGAATGGAAACTTGAACTGTGCCAGGGAACAGAAAGGAGAAATCAGTGCCCTCAGAGCGACAGCTAGATTTACCTAAAGATGTGACAACCCCGAGTATAAAATCATCAGAGCATTGCGACACGAAACCCCAAGTCCAAATTTTGCCCAGCAAAGTCTTCTTTAAAAGAAAAAAGTTGGACAAGCTGCCGCCTGAAAGTTTCTGCCTCCCATCTACAGTATGCATTTGTTTAAATCCCAGGCATATGCGCGGTCAGCAGGAATTGTCCAGGGGCTCTTTTGCTTTTCGGGAGAGCAAATCAAACTTCACTCTAACTTTGACTTTCTGGGCATAAGTGCAAAGAGTTCCCGGTCCTTAGCTCCAAAGATCAGATTTAAAAGCTTTACTATCATCTAAAATGCAACTGTTTGTCTGTGACATGCCTTGTAAATAAAATCCTGGCAAATTACACACACGCTCAGACACACACATACACACACACTCAGACACACACATATACACATATAGGAGCAAGGTCTTACAGAGAAAACATTTGCACCTGCAAAAGAGAAAAAAATCTCAAAGTTCGTCTCCCTGCTCGATAACCCTTATCCACAGGCAGGACTGAAAGGAATCTTCCACAGTGACACCACCGGAACCCTGCAGAAGTGTGGGGATTCAGCATAAGTACCTTACAACAGTTTCTACTCCTCCAGCTATCTCTGCAAATGCATCTCTTTCCCGGAGCTATTTTGTCAGATCCCGCAGGATTGCATGTTCAGCAATTTAGAAATAAACTCCTAGTTCCTAGACAATACCAATTCTCCAGCGAATAACAGTTCTAAGGCACAAGCCCACAGTCTCCGATGTACACACAATTCCCCAATGACTTCAAAGAGTAAGAAATATTTACCTTCAAGAAATCACAAAAGCAGCACTTAAATAATTGAGTTGGAAGACTGCTGATTTTTCCCATTGCTTCTGGAGGAAAAAAGTCTGGAAATGAATTGGGGAGCAGCAATAGTGAGGCAGAGAGACGGGAGATGCTGAGAGCAATGTCACACTTCAACGCTGAGGACTCTGCCATTGCGCAGGCTCTAACTGCTCTGAATTTAGCAGTGACAGTGAGATTTAGCAAACAGAAGAGGGATTTAGAGAAAATCCTCACATTTATCTACAAAACACAGACACTGTAGACAGGAAACAGCTGGGGTAACAGTGCCTTCTCTCTCTCTCTCCCTCTTCTGGCAAAGTTATCGAGTAAGGACTTTTTTGGGCATGGTGACAAATACATCATACCTTTGCATTTTAAAACTGGAGCTCAGAAGCATTTTTTCCCCCTTAAAAGAATGTGTGTTAGTGACAGGGTTAGCAGACGTTAAAATATTCTGCTGCCGTACAGAGAAGGATGTTTGCTGATTAACTTTCTAAGCGGCATGAAGACACACGTCTGCCCGTACACCTTACCAGAATTAGAGGATAACAAAGGGGGCTCGGGGAGCAATTGTGTGTTTTACAGCCAATGTAATTTTTTTTTTAAGAGAGAAAGGATCAAAGGAGCGTTCCCAGTGAGTCCTACAATTTTAACCCCGAAATGGCCGGGGTGAGTTAGTTTGGAAGCACATGTAGGTGACCCCCCTCGTCCTAGCTGCCCAGACAGAGCAATGAGCTCATCTGAGACCTGCAGACGGGGGAGGCGATGCCGAGGTGGCTCACTTAGGACACCATCTCACGCCTTTTTTTGCCAGCAGTGAGGCAAAGGATATACTGAGCTGTAAAACAAACTGAAAAATGTGATCTTTTTCTTTGCCCATCCATTCTGCTGCTTGTCACCTCTTCATCCCAAGGAAAGGGTCCCCAAGGGGCGCGGGGGGGATCTCTTTTCCTGCTGCCTGGATTTTGTGTGTGTGTGTGTGCATGACTTGAACCTGTGTGCTTGTGTGTGTGTGTATGTGTGCATCTGTGTGTATGTTTTCTTCCTCCTTTTTTTCTGTAATCTAAATAACACCAGCTGGTGCTAGCAGTACCCTCTCAAGGGTTATGACGTCATTCAAATCCCAGCTCTGGGTGAGTGGCCGGCAGCCTGGTCCAAGCCGGCTATTTTGCTATTTATAATGTATATTTGCCTTGGCTGTGGAGAATCGGGTCCTGATATCTTGTTGATACTCTGTGTACCTATTTCTCTCCAGTTTGGCGAGGCAGTAGATAAGCAAGTGGATTATGAAATAAGGTTGCAAAAGCCCAGGTCAGACCTAGGGCTTTGCCAGATGTCTCCCAGGCGTGGCTCCCCGGGATGGTGGCACAAGCCGCACCTTGCTTGGAGTCAGGTGTAGATTCCCACGGGACTCGATGACATTGATGTGTCCAGGAAAACCAAGGTCTTCAGGAAGCCTTCGTCTGGCTTTTTATGTTGTCCTGTGGCCAGCAATGTGTTTGTAAAGGTGGATGCCCTCAGAGGGAGAGATGTTTGGGTTTGGAAGGGGTTGGTTTTGGGCAAATCTTCTGTGTGGTGGAAAGATCATCAGCAATGTTGACCTTGCAGAAATAAGAAATAAAAATCCAAAGTTGTGCTGGGCAGAGTATTCAGCACCGTTATACGAGTCCCTATTATGTGTCTGATTCACACTAGTCAGACAGACGCAGAGAGAGCCAGACACACGGCAAGCCCGCGCTCTTCAAAACCCCTGCACAGCACAGTGGGAGGTGGCGAGAGCCTCTGACAAGAGGGCAAGGGAAGCCTTTCTGAATTCCGGGCCGGGAGAGGAAGGCTTGCCCTCTGAGAGGCTTTGGGTATCAAGGCTGGGAGGTTTCAGTGGCCATGATTGGACCCAAAGTCACGGAACTACATCATGCAGAGGTAGCCTAGTGGCTGTTGGCAGATGTGTGGCGATCCCTGGATTTAAAATAATCCAAGTCACCCTTTGTCATGCTCTCCTCCTGCGCTTGATTTATGACTTAATTTACCAAAGTCTCTTTCCCTCCGAAGCTTTTGTAGGGTTACGCCCTTTGTGAGGAGGCAGAGGCCGGCTTCCTCTCAGACTCTGATGATGCGGGACACGGAACGGAGGAGCCAACCTCACCCACATCTCCTCCCCGTCCCCAGCAAGGGGAGTCAGGCATGGCTAGGGTCTGGGGCTGAGTCCGGTGCAATCACCACACCACCGAGCACCTCCCCTCCCCTCCCACTGTCCAGGACGTCCTAGAAGCTCGCTCCTCTTCTGACGCTCTGGGAATTGATGACCTTCACCTCCACCGTTCCCTCCAAAGGCCACTTTGGGGACAGAACGCTCAGCCCACCAGACACGGCCCTCCTGTGACATCAGCACACTGGCTCTCGTGGTTTATAACCCCAATTACCCTTAAAGGATAATTGAGTTTTAATTTATGTCCTAGTTTTTGTGTTACAATCAAAGAAGCCTGAAATGTCACTGATCTTAATTGTCATCAGCTGCGCGGTGGAGACCCTGCGATGGGAGCTCTCGGTTTCCACCGGGGAAGCAATTTCCTGAAGTGATTAACGTATATTTCAATTTGGAGAATGTTCTCTACAGTGAGGAAGGGGAGCCAGCCCAGAACGCGGCAATAATTCCTGGAGAAATATCCATTTTCTAGGGAGCCCAAAAGGCCATAAATGTGCCACGTTGTTACTTTTTAATGACTGCGTGCTGTACCTGTTTAGGAGAGCAAGAAACGAAGGCACCTATTACTAGAGTCTAAGGTGAGCAGTAAATCTACTGCCCAGGAAAAGCGCAGGTCAGGAAATCCCACCGGGGAGAGGCCTCCAGGGCCATTCTAAAATTACCGAATGGTCCTTCAGTCTCCTGTCTGGGGGAAAGCGGACGGTTGCAGAGAGGACCTGTGTGCCACCAGACTAGCTCTCTGCAAGGGGGTGCTCATCACCAGCGCACCCACCTGGGGGCCGAGCTTTGAGGTCTCACCCTTGGGTGTGTAACGCCCGTGCTGTATAAAAACTCTCCCCTCCATGCCTTTGAGTAGCATGTTATCCCAAAGCCGCATTTTTCAGGAGGCTCCTGATATTTTTCTTTTAAAAAACAAAACCAAGCAATGAAGAGGGGCAGGCTGGTTGTGGTTCACAGAAAGTGGATCTCAAGACCTGGTCTCCCTCCTCCGGCTCAGGTCTTCTGCTCCTTGGAGGAGAGCTCACTGGGATTCTACGTCCTGTCCCTGGGCAAGAGGGCGCGTCTGTGACGTATTCCTATGGCCTTTGCTGACCTCCATGGGAATCCCAGAATGGGGATGGGAAGCAGAGTCCTCGGATCCAAGGGCCACAGTCACCAGCCCACGAGCTGGGGGATGTTCTCGGGGGTTGTCCTGGCTCTCAGATCACATGAGGGGTGGTCTGCAGTGCATTCCCCAGAATTGCAGGTGAGGAGCTCGAGGGTGTCCAGAGGAATGACTGGACCCCAAACTCAGCCTGCTAGAGAACGTGAGGACCCATGTCATGTCTCTGTGTTATCCTAGGAGGACACTGAGACTCCCCAGAAAAGCCTTTCTCTAGCTGAAAAGGACCCCTGTTCTCGTTGTGTAGGGAGCGCTTTGACCCAGCTAGGAGTGGAAACGGGAGCCCAGAGGAGACCTCCTCTCACTAAAGAAATTGAAACTTTCTTTCCAACATCAGACTTGGATCTTATTTCTTCCAAAATGTCAAAAGGACAAACGCTGGAAACAGAAACGAAATTGTTGTGGTTTGGGGGAGCGAAGGAATTCTTGGGGATGGCAGAGCAGGAGGCGCTGCATGGGGTAAGGATGGATTTACAGAGCGAGGGAGTAGAGGGGTCACCCAACTGCCCCACGTCCACTGGCCAGCCCGGGACGGGACCGCAGGGCCCACGCAGCACCCGGAGGCTTTGCTCCCTGCAAGAGAACAATGTGCGCGCCCTCTCGTGGGCTTTGGGGGAACTGCAGGCTTGAAAAGCTCTGGATTCAAATGCACTTAGAGCTGCCTTGGTCTTCAGTTCATTCAAAGCCTTGGGAAGTAAAGAACATGGACACTGGACTCGCTGTCATTTCCCACAGGAAGAGGGCTGAGGAAGGATGGGAAACTGAACGGGCCGATGGGCGTCGTTAGGGCCCACGTGGGCTCTTAACATTTTGTCAAGTGGATGAGTGAAATCATTTGTGATGAAAAAGGTAAGATATTTTTTACAAGCCCAACTTCCGGACGGTCCATGGCCAACTTGCTGATATTATGAATAAGAAAACAAGGGCTGGGGATTTAGCTCAGCAGCATAAGCGCCTGCCTGGCAAGCGCGAGGTCGTGAGTTCGATCCCCAAAGCTGGCTAGGCGTGAGCTGCTACATGACACAGCTTGAGGTGCTTGGAAATGGAGCGCACACCAGCTATTCCACGTGCTTTTTTATTGTACCGGTTTTCAAAATGTGGGTTAGGACACCTGTGGTCAAAGACTGTGGCATTAAGGGGTCACTTAAGTATAGAAGTGGATCCATTTTTAATTCTCTCCCTGTTGTGCGTCTATCAAGGAGAAAGTTCCGGTTCGGCACTGGTCTGTTTTTAGTGCTAACACTGTCTCATCTTCCTCTTTAATAAAAAGAAAGTGGACCTCGACCGCAATGTCTCTGCACAAGGCAGGTTTAATCCAGACTGTCACAGTACTACTTTTTTTTAAAGGCATGTGTTTTAAAAGGTACTTCTATGTGAAGCAAGCGATGCCGCATTTAAAATAAATATTTTAAAGCTGAATTTTTAAATGTATGTGTCTAAGTCCTAAACACATCCATGTAAGAAAAAACAAAAAGCAGAACAAGTAAACGGTTTACAGGTGGCCCAGTTACGACAGACGTGGAAATGACGTTTGAAAGTCTGGTGTTTGTGCCCCCTGAAATGCAGGGCACAGATACAAAGTCACCATGGGAGAGCTGGGAACAGCCCTGCAGACTGAACAAGCGTCCCCATATAAATGAGTCTGTGTCTGTGATAATTCCGGTGCCTGGAGATGCTATGTGAGCCTTGGCAGAGAGAATCACTTGGGGTTTATCCTCGACTCGGAGGCACCTGTAAGGCGGAGAGAACGAGAAAGGCCACTGTTCCAGGTGGGGGGCAGCAGGAACAAAGTCACATAGGAGGGGGGGATGAGGGGGGAGGGGAGGGGAGGGGAGGGGTGGGGAGGGAAAGAGGAGGGGAGAGGCCCCAGTGCTGATGAT